ACCTAAGTGGGTTCACAAACAGGTCTCGAAACCGGACATTGTAGTCACAAAGAACCGTAAGCCCTCAGCTTCGTCGATCGGACGACACATCCTGTCAGCTGACCAAAACGTGGACCTGCACTCAGCCTTCACCATCATAGTACGCCACCATAACCCACGGTTCCTAAAATTTGATGAAGTACTGGACTGGAAGCAATGAACGTAATGTAGTCATGACCTACTATTTCCAATGATGGTGAGCTATTATGCAGAATACTCAAACGTGAAATTTGTTAACTATGCTGAAGACAAGATCACTGAAATAGATTTTCCTCTGAACCTGTTTCCGTTTATTTCATAAGCAGGTCTCTATTTCTGCTATAAAATCGGTCTGCTGTATTACACAGATGTAATGAATTAACAGACACAGTTTGCGTGCGAATCGCTACAAGTAACTGAGATGTAGAAAGGTCTTTGATGAGTAGATAAAACAGACAATTATGATAACAACAGACTGTCGAGAATTACTGAAGTATGAACATGAGTGAAAGAGATTTTCAAAGATATGTTATGTGTATGCCCGAATCATTGGCTGGAGTAACTGCTCGTCTCTTCTTCAATGAAATCAAACAAGCTTTAAGTGACATTTTTACCACACTCTTCGTGCTTAAGAAGCAAGATTATAAAATATGTGACATGTTTGATTGAATACCTTTGAATGTGGATTATCAAACTTTTAATGACACGCCGGGAATACATCAGTCAGTCTTGTTGGTTGGTCTGATATCAATGATAACATTAAGACATCGTCTAGCTCTGAGTATCATTTACTGTGTTTGAGAGTGCTATGTTCGATGCCCTTTGTGGCATACAGGTTCAATCATTGACTCCTTCTGAATGTGATTGTTGGCTTCTGTTTTTATTAGTGGTTTTCTGTTCGGCATCTTTATAGTGTATATGTCAACTTTTGGAGCATTTCGTTTTATTCTTACGTTTCAAAGAGCGATGAACCATTTACCGTCTTAAGAACTTGTTAAACTTCATTGTTAGTAGGTTCAATGATAGCTATAATCACTGCTGTTTCCTGAGTAACTGTACAAAAAACAATCGGTTAAACAATATTTGTGCTTCACACTGGTGAAGTGCACCAGTTGACTGAATCTTGAAATGTTTCGTTTCAACGCCTTCGAAGTTAGCACAGTAGACGGTGCGAACAAACTGGACAACGTACCCAGGTGTTACTTGAATGAGATTTGCAAAAAACCGTTTGAGTAAGTACAAAACAGCTTGAGATGTATAGAATTAATTGCTGCTCAGTACATGAGTCAGACTTATGGCAATCCTCAGCATTTCAAAGCCAGTTTTGAGAACGCTAAAAGAAAACATTCTTTGTTATTAGACACTCAGTTCTAGACAGTTAACGTTAATATAATCAAGCAGTGTGGGACAACGCCATCTGTGTCTACAAAGATTTAAGATTACCCATTTTTACAGTCTGTACGAACAAAATTTCCCATCCGATGATGAATTTAAGAACGACAGGGTCTGCCAAAATTGCGGGAAAATTGAAGACAGTTAATGTTTTCGTAAACAACGTACTGTTAAGACGAAACCTATGAGTTTCCTTTTATATTCGGACTTCCAGGACATAATTGGCGAAACGGCAAATGTGCTGACGATAACAGGTAGAAAAGTCGTTCCAAGATAATTCAACTCTATCGCTATACTAATTTTAACAAACACAGACACACCAAACGAAGCACATTAGAAGAACAATAGGTCTTTAGATGAAACCCAACTGTGAAAAGTCAGGGCTTCGACTGGATTCAAACCAGCGACAGAAACACCATACCTCAACGCTCTACCAGCTGAGCTACGAAGCCACGCCAGGAGCTCGGAAATTTCGCATTTGGACTCGGTTACCTACCTGTCCCACTGTCTCATATGGAATCCACCAAATGATCCAGGGGATCGACTGCCCCGGCAGGATTTCTCAAACAGTTCACGCTGGAATCCACCAACGCCACTGTTGAGCATTGAATTTGTATTACTAATAAGTAGTGTGGCAGATTTATGAACAATAGGTCGTCAGATCAGAAGTTTAGCAACACGTTTCTGTGAATAAGAAGGTGTTATGGTTATTCTCGTTCAACTACTCCAACGTAGTTTTTTTCACATATGATGGAAAAGAAAACTTATTGAATTAATATTCATTAGTAATGAGCTACTTTAAACAAAACTGTAGTTCAAACACTCTCAGTTTGTCCACAGCCTGTGGTGTATTAACAAAACTCATTTTCTAAACTTGTCATTCTCTCTGGACTCATGCAAATAAAACATTTTCTGTTAAAAACCACATGTTACAATACATAGAAAACGGCTAAACTCTAATTACCGATTAATAGTCTGGGATTTCATTAATTTCAAGTTGAATATTATTCACGTTTGCTCGCAGATTTCGCTGCAAAATTGGACGGGCTATCAGCTATGGTTATTCGGTCATATCTAGCGTGAGATCACTAGGGCAGTGGATAACACGGATACTTATCGAAAGCATGACCTGAGTTCTAGTTACAATCGTGGAAAGGATACGTACTAATGTTGTGCCCAAACAAGGTTGAAACTCCGGTCTAGTGCTTATTCTTGAAGTAGACTGGTTGAATAGTCTATCTGACTGCAAAAGATGCGACCAGGTGTGGATGACATTCAAATTAATTGAATAGATCTTATTATCCGTTAATTCGATCACACTATCCGTGTGTACAGGTTGAGTAGCCACTACTCATCAGTTACCACTTATTTCGTGGACGTTTAAACATATACAGGGAACATGTACCTCCATAAACTCAACATTAGATCTCAAAGGTCCACTAGTAGAAAAGCTGTTTACAGTTGTAGATCGTTAAGAAATATTAGCAATGCTGATGAAGCACTTTTTGTAAACTTCAGTAAGATACGTATGGCGATAAGTTATACAGAAGACATGAGCACAGGATGTAACAGGAAGCAACATACCTCAGGAATGAAACGTACAACCCACATAAATGGTTTCTAACTTGAAAAAGTAAGCTTAAAGCAAAGCTACGAGCAGTTGATCCCAGTAACCGCCACCCAAGTGGTCAATGCGTGTTTCGACTTAGCGGGGTCACATCAATACTAATCACGCCGCAGAATCCCAACCACAACTTGCGGATAAGCGGTAAATAGTAGATCAAAACAATAACATTGTCTTGCAATCTTTACTGCGAAGTTTGCACTCACATCGCAAGCAGCTAAGTCAGGCAATGACAAAATTTATACCACTGGACAGGTTTGCTCGCCACATTCTCTACCGTTTCCAGCTAGAGACCATTTGTTTCACTCCATAATGGAGGACGAACCAGGTTCACTCTTCCCAACTTAATAGTGGACGTTTTCGTTTTCTTATACAAAACCTTTGACTGACCATGTGAAGCCTTAGGCTAATGGGCTTCACGCTCCACTGAGGATGCATGCGCCCAACCACCAATATCTATGCATCTTGAGAGTTTGATGTGTGTGCGTGATTGAGCATCACAGCCAGAATTCTAGTGTGTGATGTGTTCATATCGCCATTATTTACAAAGAGCTGCCTCTAAAGGACGGATTTTCGAAACTCAAATGTTCCATTTCGTGAGAATGGCCCAACAGAGAAAAAGATCGTTTAAAAAAAATGGAATAGCATTGTAACAAGTATGATTTATCGAACTAATTTTCTGTGTTTCAAGACACAACAGATCTGAGTGTCCTGTGGTATGTGGTATATTTTTAATTCATATATATCCTTATTCTTATTGCTCAGTTGATAAGCCTTTGATCTCATCAGTGATGGCGATATAACTAGGTAGGTAAATACTCCTGATTACGCAACCACCTGGAAAAATTGCCATTCATTAAGATAACTGATGCTTCAGAGGTGCATGTCAACATGTTCCAGAGAAAAAGCTTCGCAGTTACTGTTGTTTCTGGTTACCTTCACGCATTCGGTTTTCTCTGCTTCCAAACAACAGTAACAGTCACACCATTAGCTTAGGTCACTTGTTCACTTCACACATTTTATAAAACGAAAAGGCATCACTTTGCCCAAAAATTTGAACAGAGTGAATTTTGTGTTAGAGTGAGTCCTTTAGTGTAACCGGGATTTCTTCAAAGTTCGCTCTGCTTGTGGTTAATCTTAGAAACCTTCCCTGATGATAGAAGTTATAACGGTAATGGTTCATTCATAATTTTGGAGTGACAACTGATAGCAAACAAATTAATTTGCTATAATTTGCCCCATTTTGTATAATACTAAAGTTAGGTATCTCTAAACCAAATATATATATATATGATCAATCCTCGATTTGCCACTGTGAGTGGCCACTAGTTGTTTGAAAACACTTAGTTCTCTTTATCTATTTAATCAAAACAAAGGGAAGACATATCGCGAGATGTTAACATTTCGATTTACTCTCATCAGTCGCCAACGTAGAATTCGAAAATTTTACACAAACTGCGCATGATGGCAAAAACTAAACGAACATAGTTTTGACCTTTCATGTGCTAATAGTGCAATCAATTCCACAGCAAGGAGAGTGATTACGTCGTCGCCTTCTGTGAACACAAAACTGGCCGATGATATCTGATTAGTTCTGTCTCATCGATCGCTAGCAGCTTCGGGTTGTGATCATGCAACGATATCTTGAACGATTTACTAAGATCAACTAAGTGACCGGTTGCTAAGACATGCTTGGCGATCGATGAGGCCAAGATATTCGAGCTTGATACAGTCAGCACGTCGTTTTTGGAGATTGCGGTCGATAACCCTGCTGTTCTGCTATCGCTTTGGTGTATTCGATGATTTGTTTCACACAGGTTAGAACCATAGCCGATGAGTGAGTTGCCGTTATAAAATCAAACCGTACCGACACATTTGATGCATCCATCCTAAAAGCGAGTTCTACAGCTGCTTGATTGCGGCAAACGAAGTTCCAGCTGATCCCAATTTTATATAGTTTGGATGATACCATAACGTTGCCTATGATGGAGCTGCTACAGTAACTCGAAACGATTCAAGTAAGAGATTGTTCTTCGGCAGTAACCCATTTATATTTTCATAAATAAACCAATACATGGGTTTGTACTATTAATAGAAAAAGGATAATACTCAGTATAGAAGACGAACACCGGTA